GGGTGGCGAGAGTCAATCTGATTTTTTTGGCCACCGTGAAAGGAGAGAGGCAGGTCACGGAGCTCTTTTATCTTTGTCAACCAGCATTAATGTCATTAGTCGGAGAGAGCGTGCTCGGGAGTTTTGAATTTTGCACAGTAATTGAGTGCGGGTGAAGGAAGAGTGAGAGAGCGGGCGGGCCGCTGGGGTACTTGTAATACCTGGTCGCTTGACCGCTGGAGAATTGAAGGATTACGGCTCTAATTGGACGCACTTTGCCTTTCTAAATGGGCATGGGACCCGCTCAAGGATCTCCAGCACCAACCGAGAGCCCCAAAATAAATTTAATTGCAACTCACGTGAAATAATTAGATACTCCTCCAGAGGGGATAGATTGCACGCCTAACGATTTTTTTTTTTTGCTTAGTCTGTATTTATTGGACTGAGAGAATGTTTGAATTTCATTCCGCTGCCAGAAACTTTTACGCTTGAGTTGCATCGGTTTTCACCACGCAAAAGAGAGAATTAATGAAAAGAACAGTGTCAGAAAGTGAATATCTTGTTCTGCCGAAAAAGAAAAGTTTGATGAGCTGCAAAAGTGAAACGGGCTTGAAAAGTAGCCATTAAATATGTATTTGCAGGCGCGCCCTTTGATGCCGGGGGTGCCAATGTTACCAACTTTTCCTCTCGTTCCTTTTTCTTTGTGGTGTTTGCACATCTTTTATGCTGATGTTGCACTGCTACCGTGTTGGATCTGCTGGTGCTCGCAAAGTGTGCTCATTTGCATAGTAACTGAATATTTTATTCATTAGCTAGTCAGCTCTCTGCCACTTCATTTTTCCCTTTGTTATTTAATTAGCATGAAAAGCACGCTACCCCCAAGAAGGATTAGACAGATGGTTTCATTTCAAGGCGAGTATTTGAAGAGGTGTAAAATGGAGAGTTGTTGCGAGCACCAGTTATTGCAAAAATAAATTCAGCTCTCCAACATCATGTGAGGACTAAAACGTATTAAGAAATACATATTTATAAAATATAGTATAAAAAATTGTTTTCCTAATTAAAAGATTTATTTTTTTTTTATTAATCTTTAAATGTAATGCAAAATAAATTTCAATGATTGAAGGATATTAATTGAATGATTTTGCTTCCTTTTGGATTCAATTTTGCAACGTGGAACTCTGCTAGATATGTAAACAAGTGAGGTTTGTAGCCCCCATGAGCAAATATCTGATCACTCCGTCAAACGAAAATTAATTCATCAGCGCCAAGGGAGGCAGAAATAATTCGAGCAGCAGAGCAATTATATTCGAGTCTTTTGGGCATTGGCAATCTCTCCTGCAGACACATATATAGAACGGCGACCGAGCCAAATTGATTCAGAGCTGGAATCAATTTGCTCTCGTCAAGCTATTATATTGCATTCGAATCCCATCGTCATTTGGGACAAGCCTTGCTCACGCCGCTGCTACGCGGAGATAAATAAATATTAGCGCCACAGAGCCGCGGCTTGTTCGACACGGCATGCAAATTCGGGGGCGTGCAAAACATCATGCCCGACAAGCCATTACGGCTGATTATTTTAGGAGAGAGTTGCTGCCGCTGCTGGATTAGGACAGCGAGCCGACGAGCTTTTTATATGCACAAGCCGCGCAGCTTTACGAGATAGAGCGAACGGATCAGCCAATCAAGCTGATTATACCGCCGCCGCCGACACATTATTATGCCTGCACCCTCTCATAATATTGATCCGCCACTAAATTACACCATGTAAAATATTTATGGCCCTCTCGTGACGCCACCGGTCTGTCGATTTTTTGCACATTAGCGCCCGTTTTGTCGATTCTGCCTAATTGTCTCGGCGTGGCGGTGCGCGATTTCCATCGGAAAATAAATAATGGCCCCGATAACGAGGTTTGATTCGGCTGCATTTTATTTTATCCAGAGTTAGCGCAGATGTACAAAAATGTAATTTTTGTTTGACGTAGGTGACTTTAATTGAACGTGCTCTGATTAAATGCGGGTTTTTTTTCTTCTAAAAATAAGATTGAAAACATGCATTAGCTTTTATATTCTACAATAACAAATAGAATGAGGCCAATAGATAATAATTATTTCAGGGAAGGTTATTACGGTGAAACATCAAAAAAATCTTAATTAGCAATTCAAATTACTGCTGTAAGGCAAAAATAAATCAATTAATATTCCTCAAGCAGGAAAGCTTACGTAATTCTCTAAAAGATAAAAACTATCTAACAGTTTAGTTTGTTCTTCACTGCAATCTGCGAAAAAAAAACTGGAAATTTTAATAAATCTAAATAATTATTTGCACAAATGTAAGGATAAACTCATAAGGAGAAGAGCAGAAGGATTTGAGATAACCTTTATATTTTAATTAATCTTTGTATAAAATCAAATTATTTTATTTGTGTTTTACACGCCCTTGTTTTGAAACTAAAAGCTTAAATTGTAAAATTGCTAGAATATGTCAAGTGTATGATGGAAAAAAAATTATTTTTTTTTTAAATTGTATACTTTGTTTGTTAATTTTCTTAAATAATACTTTACAACTTAAAATAGCCTAGATAAAGAATGGGTTACTTTTATTTTTAAAAATACGGATTCAAATGTATAAATTTATTTATTTATTATAATTATTTTTTGTAATTCAATTAAAATAAATTCAATATATTTCTTTGTAACTGTATTTAAGAATAAATTAAACTGTAGATGAACGTTTTCATTTTTATCATCTATACATAATAAATATAATAAATAATTATGGTCTCGTGTGCAGTTTCAACATAGGCAATTTACTTTATAAATGTGCAATAAATGTGATAAAATAACTGCGATTATTATTTGACTGGCTCTGTTTGAAGTGGAAGTTCTTTATACCAAACACGCACTTTCCAGCCTTTCCTAAAACTCACAAAGCATTGCGATTCAAAAAGTTTTCGCCGTGGTTAGTTTTCGCCCCCGCAAATAACCTGCCGCGGCCGCATAAAAAGCCAGCGCAGCTTCAGCGGAATTTCGATTAAAAAGTGGCCCTTTTGATCGTCACCCCGGCAGGCGCGCGCTCAAATAATTCTGCAGCCGGGGCCATTACGACGGGATTAACTCGAGGGGGTATTTGCATAATTACACTTTCAAAAAGCGATCGCGAGAGCGGGCGGGCGGGTGGGCGGACCTCGCAATCAATGCGACCCGGGTGCCCCCTTCGCCTTCTTCTTTTTGATTCCGGCGACACGAGAAGAAAAGGACCGACTCAAAAGGAAATGTACGCGGGCTGCTTTCACGGTCGGCCGAGAATGCGGGGGCTACTTCGCTCTTTTCACTCAGTCCCGATTCCGAAAGTTTGCGCTGCGGCACAGTCGTCGCCCGTTCGTTCAGGGGCGAATTCCCAACTTTTACTTTATTTCGCTGACTGCTCTCGTGTAATGGAATCCCTTTAGCTGCAAACTTTGGTCGGCCGCTGCTGCATTGCCCGCCTCTCCATCACAATTGGCTCATTTCCAATAAAATATATAAATCCACACACGCGAGTAATCCTCTCTGTAATACCAACAATAGCGGCGGAAGATGCTGATTGTGCCCGCCGCCGCCGCCGCTGCTGGTATATCCACTTTGCAGAGAGCACTCTCGCAGACGGAGGATGCTTTCTATTCTGGACCATCCTTTGAGCGCGAAATTGTTATAACGCTCGGCAAAACCCATGCGCTGCCCTGCGGAGTTCAATAAATTTGAATGGAATTGCCTTTGTCCAATTTTTTTCACTCTCACTGCCTCTCGATCTCAAATTATGTGATTTCTGCGTGAGCTTTTTCGTTTGATGTAAAAATTGTGCGAAAATACTGGAAAAGGCCAATTTTACGGTCAATAAATATGCCGGGCCTTTATTTGATCAAAATTCAATTAGAGAGAGCGCAACTGTACATTTAGAGGTCGCTAAATAGGAATTTTAATTTTTATCCAAAGTGAGAAAACAATGCAATTTTATTACCTCTCGTGTAAGGCCACTTAGGGGGAGAATTTTATTCATCGCATATAATTCCAACCGGATTAAAGGGAATGGCCATAAATCTGCAACTATAGAAACGCGCATATTACTGGGGGTGGGCTTTGGGATTACTCAAAGATATTATTCACACTTTGCTATCTTTGCACGATGCAGGGCGGATTACACCATTATCGTATTATTATTAATCGGAATAAAAAGGGTGCTTGGTGATATTATGGATCTTTGTGTAATAATCCTGGCTTCCGCTGAAGGAATTTAATAACTTGTTTATTTGCATCGGAGTGAACTAGAGGCTTTGAGTGCGGCTGCAAGTAATATTAATACAGAGTGAGATAAACAGAATATTATCCGAAAAAGGCAAATTAAATTATCGTTTCTGTCAGTGAGTATAATATGCTGTAGCATTAACATTTGAATGACTTGCTCAAGGAAGTCAGTTTTTAAGACTTTATCACAAAATCTGATCTTGTTTATTTATTCATGAGACACAAACGGAGTGTGTTTGGCAGAGTTCAAAGAAATGTGTGCACGGCAAATAGCACACAATTCGCTTGGAACTTAAATGAGAAGTTTTTAAGCATAAACAAATATTTGACTCGATTTAACTTAAATTAATTTAAATAAATAAAAAATAATCCGACGGAATTGCCTTTGCAAAAAAAAGATAATCTAATTGGCTACATTTTTCTACGTACGTTTTTATTTCTAAAATTTGAAATTTTTTCTTGTTATGAAGATTTAAAAAACAAAAATGCCGCACAATGACAATAACTTTGCATCAAAAATTGATTAAAAAAAAAAATAATAAATAAATGAAAAACACGCTACCTCATTTCATCACCTATCAATGCTCAAAATATGAAAATTACTATGAAATGAATTATAATTATCCTTTAAAATCGGCGCGATGTCCTTTTATTTTTCTGCCTGCCTTCTCGCGACTTGTAGGCCACGCAATACGTATCTCATCCTTGTCCTGACTTGTTTGCTCTTCTTCCAGCATCAAGCAGCAGCAGCCACCAGCTGGATGGAGGGAGTTTGTGTTGATCGGCAATAAAAAAAGTCGCCCCTCGGTACCTCGGAGGCCCGTGGGCCGTATCTCGCCGAATTTGAGCCGCCGCCGGATCTCGCCAACCTGCCGAGGACCAGGACTATCGCCGTGCCCACGCCCACAAGGTAGGGAAAAACCGCATAATCTAATTATATTTAACGCGCGCGAGGCTAATTTATTTGGTATGTCTTGTCGCATCAGCATGCTGGAACATGTATGGCCCTTCTCGCGCCTGTTGTTGTAGGTTGTGGTTTTGGTGGGTACCATTACCATTCAGCCAGATCTATTTTGTTAAAAGTCATCTAAACTAAATTTTTGTATCAAAAATTAAGGAAAATACCAAGATACCTTTGTAAGTTCATGCGTTTCTCTGGCTCAAAATTGCAACATGGCGAAAGCGCAGAGAAAGTCTAACTGCGATGAAACCATAAAAATCTTGACTTCAGGGGCCTTTTAACAATAAAATTAAATATTTGATAAATATTTTACTTTTTTAAGATCTGTTGAGAGTTGAGACTAAAAAGAGTATTTCGTCGACCTAGACAAAAAAATCTAAATATTTACTGAAATTTCTAGAATTTCTTAAAATTTCACTAGTAACTCCTTTTTAATTTCATGGTTTTATTTGAATTTAAAGTTGGCTTTTCCTCAATGGGTGTTGTTAGTTGTTAAATTGTTTAAGAAAAAACAATACACTAACTGCTCTACATGTTTCGGTTGCAGCCATTACTCATGAGCTGTGAGATTATTTTATCAAAAGTTTGGTATACAAAAATTAATTTAATAAAAGTGTCTTCATCGAATCAAATAATAATTTTTCAAAAATTTGAAATATTCTTTTCAGATACAATTTTTTCACCAGTTAATTTTTTCCCAAAACTTAACAATTATTTTTAGCAATAAGTGTATTGCAAATTTTTTATTTTCCTACATTATTTAATTTTTAAATTAAATTCATCATTCATGCATACAATACATGGTGCTTTGAAAAGCACTCTGATCCTAAAATATTTAAGGTTTTTTCAAGAAGGCTGCAGATTTTATGATTTCATTTAGAAAGAGCTGGTTTACGGAGACCAAATTCAAAGGTCACTGCGCTAAGTTTATTTTGCGTCCGCACAAAAAATGTGTGATACTTCCAGACAGCAAATTACAAACTGTAGTCTGAACTGCAAGTTGGTACAAAAAGTGGCCATAAACGCGCGGAGGAGCAGACGCGAGGAAGACCACAGCAGGAAAGCCTCGGCGGCTTTTGGTACAGCAGCCAAAAAAGAGACACAAAAGACATTAAAGCGCCATTTTTCCGCTGGCAGCAGCGGCAGTCGGTGGCTGTAATCCTACTGTTCCGTTTAATTTCACCCGACCACAGTTATTTTGCATCGCCCTCGCCGCCGCATTCCGCCCCGCACCCACCGCCAAAGAGCACCAGCGGCGCCCTTGTTAATTCAACATAGCCCCTCTCTGCGTAATTAAACTTTATCGTCGCCACTTTTTTGAATTATAATTGGGGCATTATGGAGTGTACTCTCGTGCTAATTATTTCCCCACGTCTTCCTCCGCGGCCACTTTTAAGCTTTTTCTGCGGTTCCACAAGCACAAGCTCTCTTTCTCTCTCCCTCTGCGTTGGCCCACTTTGCAGATGGATCGCGAGTTGTGCCCGAGGCGTGCGTGACCCTAGTTCAATGCCTTTAAGAATGTCGCACGCCGCCTAATAGGGCCATAATTAATTGCCCCGGCACGCACTTGGGCAGAAAGCTCTTCATTATAGAACACGGTGATTAAGCCTATTGATAAGAAAACGTTCACTTCCTCCTATACACTTGATATTTGTGAAAAATTTCCAACACAACTCAAATTTATGTGTTTCGTTTTGGTCTTAAATCAGCACAATCTGATTTTCATAAATAATAAGCCCAAATTATTTCTAAATAGTTGGGCAAAGAATTAGGTTTTTCAGAAGAATTTTTTTTACTTTTATTCGTGCATGAATTTATTGTTATCTATGGACATTTTTGTGCCGTTAATTTTAGAAAGAACATAACAAAATGATAATAAAAAAAATCAATTTTAAAAGCTTAAAATTTGAGTATAAAAATTTAAAATACATTTAATTAGAATAAAGTTCATCTCTTTCGGCCAACCCTTAAAACCCTAGACACTTTCCGTGATACTCCGTTGCACAATCCGGCACAATCAATATAATTAAAATTATTAAAATTTCAATAACTGAGTTACAGTTAATTCTAAAATTATTAAAGAATACTAGGGGATAAATAAAAAATGTTGTTCGCAAAACAAATATATACAATATTTTTTAATCAAAAAATTGCACTATTAAAAAGAACTGTAAATTAACAATTTGTTATTTCGTTAGTGAAAAATTCAATTCATTCTATGAAATTAATTTTAAATTTATTTACTTGAATATCAAAGCTTTGTAAATTATTATAACGGTAAAATGATTAAAACCTATTATTAAAAAAATTAATTTAATTTGTGAATTATGGTTCAATATTTGAACTTAAGCGATCAAATATTCCAAATATTATTAATCATTCAAATATTTTTTTAGGATATATGTGCAAAACATACAAATTATATTGTTTTCATTTGTCCATTGTAGCAATACATTGTTGAATACAATTTAATTTAATTTATTGAGAAAAAAAGGAATTTTTGGACAAAACTGCTCCACCACTAGCAAGAATTTTGCTAAAAAATCCGTGACAAAAAAGACCCCATCCGCCGCAGTGAGCCGCGGTTGATGAACTTTTTATTTAATAATTAATAATGCAGCACAAACATCACTTTTTTAATCTTTCAATCAATATATTTTTAAGTCCATAATCATTAACCTCATAACCCTAAAAAGAAAAAGGGACGATGAGAAATATTTGAATTTATTTTTGTTCTTATAATACATAGAATTATGCCATTATGTATTATTAAATTATTGAGTATATTTTGAGATGCGGAACAATTGTGTATACTATACCGCGCTATATCAACAGAATCATTTTTTCCAGTATAAAAATGTCCTTCATTTGTGAATAAATTAATTTTTTTTTATTTATTTATTAATCATAATTTAGAGTAATTAAAATTTTGAAAAAACAATTATGCAAATCGATAATTTTGATAGTGCGTACGTCACGTGGCACGAGTTGGGAACTTTCAAATTTGTCATTCCAAGTTCTGCCGCCAGACTCCGCGGCAGGCGCTCGAGCAGCAACACAGCCGGCCAAGCCAGCCATCTGCTGATCCTTCTCTCGCTCGCGAGGCCCGAAAAGTATACAAACAATTATTCCGATTCAAAACCGACCCACTTTGCCTATTATTTATGGAATAATATTTCATTCATCGTGCGACGCACATTTTCCTCGCTGCTCGGCCGAAGCCATGGCGCAGTCGATTAAGGTTTTGGTCTTCCAAAATTGCATGCACCGCATGATGCAAAGTGACAAAGGTTCGTCGTCCGCTTTTTCGCATAGTATGTGTATGATGGAAAATTATTTGGTCAAATTTCAGGCACACAAACAGACGATTCGTATTTAGCCGATGATTGTGACCCTCGAGCGAATCAGGAGGCTCTGGAAAGTCCCAAAAGTGGCCCTTACAGGTAACAAAGCTTTGAATTATTTGAATTTGTAAATCTAATCCTATGGTATGCAAAAAAGCAAAGAGGAGTCAGAGAAGGTGCGAGAATTGTTGATTAAGGACCCCAACTGTATTCTGATGCATTCCGTGCAGAAAAACAAACCGGTTAGTATTTTTTACATGAATCTAATTTAAAAAATTTTTATGGAATCAAATCATTTTAAACATTTCCCAGCTTTTGTATTGAGAATAGATTATAAAATGTCATCTTAAAGTTTTCCTATTTCTTTTTTTCTTGTAATTTTTTAAAGTTGAAAGATATTAAAGGAAGAAAAATATTTGAAGAAATCTGAAAAAAATTTATATTAGCAAATAATACTTTTTTTTTTAATTTTCAGTATTACAATATTGAGACGAATAGTGTGGAGGTCAACCCAAAAACAATGTACGTTGTTCCGCCAGAGCTACAGGAAAAGGCGCTCAGAAAATCAAAGTCATGTGGCTCTTATCTTGTCCGAATTGCAAAATTTTTCTTTGAGCCCTCTATCGTGATTTATTGCACATGCCACGGTTCACCGAGACAAGGCCGAGGACCTGATGTGCTAGTGAGGCCTGCCATTCCTAAACAAATCTTGAATGCGATCATGAGTAAGATTTTTGAAAAAAAAAATTAAATTATTTATTAAATAATTTTACTTAAGGTCACGTTCTCGCTGTCGGTGAGGCTCAGAAGTGGAAAGACGTTGACAGGGCTGACGTGATGGTCTACCTTGCCCACGCTTTAAACATGATGTTGGCTAGTACCAGGAAACCACGCCACCTTCGGCAAAGGAGTCGTTATCAATTGAAACGAAATAAAATCAGACCAAACCCTGAAATCGTTGATGAAGATGAACCTCCAAGATTAAGGCTTAATCTAAAATCCAGGTTGCGTCGAAAACAGGCTAAAAAAACGCAAGGGAAAACGCAACAAAAAGACGATTGAATTAGTTTTTAATTTTATGTTAAAGGATTTTGGAAAAATAGTTTCTAATTGGTTTGTTACCAATTCAGATAAATGTCTGAATTCCATTATTTCAATTGTAAAAAAAAAATAAATTTAAGGATCAAGTTTACATTAAAATGTACTTTTTGTAAATTATACTATGACTGAACATTAAAAGTTTTCTTTTGAAATAAAGAAAAAATTGACTTCTAATTTATTATGTCAAGATCTAACTTCAAATTTATTGTATGATTCTACTTTAGGATTCCAACCAAAATTTGAAACAAAACGATAGATTAAAAATTGCTTTGATTATGAACTATCACAAATTAATGCATCAAAATTATTCCTTTTAGCCACTTCAATTCTTTTATGGGCACCAAAGTAAGATCAAAATTCAGTAAATATCATCCTCGGTTTGCTCGTAACATTTTGTTTCACAAGTGAAAGTTAAGTAATATTTTATAATAGCTTTAGATAGAGTATTTATTGAACACAACTAGGTGTACAACGGGTGTCTAAAGCTAATTTGTCTTCCTAAAATTAATTTTACAATTAAGCTTGTTTCGATAATTATTACAAAGTACAAAATTAGTTAATTTTGATTTTTGCAGCCTCTCTTAGGCTTAGTTTACGTTCATTACATTCAAGAATATGATATTGTGAACATTTCTTACCGCAGTGCTTGCATTCACAATCTATTGTCGCTTGAGAATGAAAATTTTTATTCTTACAAAATAAATAGTGGTACCCGTGACAGGCAAATCTCGTAAACACTTGGCGATCACTGAACATTGCACATTGCCAATTTTTATTCTTCATAGTTTCTGTCTCGTAGAACTCATCACATATCTCAAGTTTGTTTAAATATTTAGACATACAAAATTTCTGGAATGCTTCAGTTTCAGTTAGAGAATATTTTACCTGTAAGTCCGATACAAAGAGATCAGTGTCAACTAATTCATACACAAATCTAGATCTAATATACTTGGACAGTCCTAAAACTCTTTTTAAATATCTTGTTTTGACTTTTTCAAGATTTTCAAAATCAGTCTTTGTTAGGAAAGGCCATATTTCTTCAATGCCGTAGGACGCAATTGGGGAAATTTTTAGATCAAATAGCTTGTGTGCTGTTTCAATGGATAATTGTTTTAGTTCTCGTATATTATAAGTGGCCAGCAATGCAGCTCTTGTTCTTTTTTCAATGTGCTTTCCAAAAGAGATTCCTGATGGTTGAAAAGTAACTCCTAAATATGTAAACTCAGCAACTCTCTCTATTTCAATTCCACCTAAATCTAGGCGGTCACTTAATGCATATTTTCCTAGACCCTTATTTCTGAATTTCATGAATTTGCACTTTTCCAAGTTAAGTTTCAAACTGCGTTTTAACAAAAATTCTTTCATTCTGGCTAAAGCAATTTTCAAGTCACTTAATTTTTCTGAGGTTAAAACAATATAATAGCTTTTGATTTGCATATCGCTATCGAAGAACCCAAAAAATTTACATCTTTTGGGATTCTGATTCCTAAAAAAGGGAGGGGGGAATTTAATGCACTTAACAAAAACTGGTACATACTTCCGTTTTTGTTTTTCAATTTCAAACTTTTCAACGGGCAATTCTGCTTTTCAGAGGCTTGCATTCTAAAATTTTAAATTAATTTTGAGCTATTTTACTAACTTATTTTTTGAGTATTTGCCTGAGTAAAACAAATGCATCTAAAAAGCAAACGAATTGTCTCAAATGAACCAAACCGTAAAAGACTGGCTGCTTCTCCCACACGAAGTAGTGTAGTGGTTATTTGTTATTTCTCTCTGGCTTGTTGAGGTGAAACGCAATAAACCTGTAAAATAAAGACTGGGTACAAGAAGCAGGGCAGCTAAAAGAAGTTGGATTTCTACGAGCTAAGAATGCCAGCGTCAAATTACTTTACTTGGCAAAAACTTGAGTTGTTTGAAGGAAAGGTCACGTGAAGCCCCAGACATATATCGAGGAATGATAAATTTATAGTAATAATGACAAGAGTGCAAGTTTTTTTTATAAAAAATTTTTGATACCAATAAATCTTGTTCTTATAAACCATTTATAATAACTAAAAATAACTATTTACTTAGATTTTTTTTATTTTATGGATACAAAATTAAGAAAATTTTTCATAAAAGTTTATTATAAAATTTTTTAAGTTTCATATTCTATTTTATTCTTTTTCAATCAAGTTAATATCAAAATTAAATTTCACTTTAACTCAATATTAATTTTCTTTTTTTGATTCTTAAATGAACGGAATACAAATAAACAATAGAACTGATGATTAATTAATAATTTGATAAATAATTTTATGATATCAGAATTAAAAATTTTTTCACCCAATGCTAGCACACCTTATATCAGATGTTTTTATACAGCATTTATTTTTTATTTCAAATTCCTCAACTCGCGGATTGTGAGCTTTCCTTGAGTAAAATCGTTGTTTTAATTGCATTCGAGTGTGTGGTAAAATGTGTTTGCACCAGTCTGACGAGAGCGCCGAGAAAGGTGGTTTTATTTATTTGGCAAGCAGCGAGGAAAGACAAAAGGGTTGGTCCATTCGGTGTTGAGTCGGTTTCTCTCTAGTGTGCGAGATTACAACTTCTTTAGCCGGCTCAATTTAGTCGGGGTGGTCTCGCGGGATCTCAGCCCTTTACTTTCTTGCTTACGTCCACGACAATTAAAGTGGAGATTCGAGCGTGCTGAGCCAAGAGAGAGAGAGAGAGAGAGACAGCAGCAGCCAACGGCAGCATAACATCCGCCACAATTGCACTCCGCGTTTAACTTTTATGCCCCAGTTTAACTTTTATTGCGCCTGAAAAATTGCGCGAAAGTTGTTAAAAATAAAAGATGGCTGCTTTTTCTTGGGGCGCGTCACACCAGTTTGCGAGCAACAAGGCCCCTGGGAGATAAGACGCCGGCTAATTTTTGCCCTTTTTGTTTGGCTCCACACACTCGGCCTGCTGAATATTTCATCTCATGAATTTTTTAGCGACCAATTTGCAGCCAAGAAGAAATCAAAACGACTCATGCCGGCGCCGCGCTCTCTTTACTTTTTCCAAAGTTTTGAATTTCTTTTGCATTTTTCCGCAAGTTTTTCTGCTTCAATCGAACTTGATAGCAGTTGTGGCTCCTTCTTTTGATGCGACACACCAAAAATGGACTATTTTCGTGACTATATTTCCTTGGCCTTGCTAAGGGGGTTACGACGCCGGCGCCCCAAGCAGCTTTCGACGTTGAATATAAGTGAGAGCTGCGGGCGGCCATTATTTACCTACGCCAATATCTTTTGGCCGCCCCACAAAATCAATTATAAACAGTTGGCGAGGAAATTTATCACCAAAAGTGGCAGGCAAAAGTTGCCCCCTGCAGCAGCAGCGAGCGTCTCACCTAATAAACTGGTGCTCGAGATAAGGGCCCGTTAGGTGTATTAAAACGCTTTTTTGCGTCCTTAGCCTGGTTTAATGTTCGTCCGTAAAAGAGGCCGCAGAGCAGCAGGCCGCATATTGTGGCTCAAAAAGCAGGAAAGCGGCCGGATTTTCTTATACTGCAATGATGGATGGCGCCCAGCTTGACTCTTGATGAACAAAGTTTGCAAACGCAGCTTGTGTTTACAAGCATTAAAACGCTTTTTGTGCGATTTCTTAAACAAACCACTAGCATTTGCAAAGAAACTTAAATGCTTTCCCTTTTGCAGACAGAACTACTTTCAATTTAAATATATATTTAATTCAAAAATACATTCTAAAAATTTATATTTTATTTCAAAATTAATGTGAATATTATGCCTTCAATGGTCCGCAGCTTGTAAATATGTAATTCATGTAACGCCTTTGAGCCTTTGACTGATTATTGGAAAACGTTTATAAAAATTCTACCTCACGAGCGTAATAAGAGAGATTGCAGATCGTGCTGAGAATTTCTATGGGCAATCTTTTAGCTTCATTTCCGTTGATCTTGAGGTTGGAGGGACGAGTTCGCCCTCGCTCAGCAGCTCGAAATTGCATCTGCGAAAGGCAGAGATTAAAGCGCGAGAGAGCTCGCAGCCGCTGGTTGGGGTGGTGCGATAAAAGGCGCGCACAGATAGAACTTTAAAGTCGTTTTGCGGCGCGGCAGCGTCAAAAATTCTATTTCCAATGCACCCTCCTAACGAGGTTAATCCACTCGTCTTCCCCGCACGTGTGTATTTTGTCAAAGAGAGCGCCGGGGGTTTCAGCATATATATGTTCTCAATAATGTCCTCAAATGTCACCCAGGAGGCAGAATTTTATTGAATTTTCTCTTTCCAAATACCATGAAAAAGTTATTTGAGGTTCTGCGGCTTTTTTATTTTAAGACATGGTTCAGTGGAAGCCGCGCAACTGTCTGTTAATTTGGTCCGGCCATAAAAGCATATTTATTTCAATGACTTTAGAGTAAGATTTTTAAACTAAATAAATATTTTTCATAATAAATTCATAATTCATTTTTGATTAGGGCCAATAATTACTTTCCTGATGATTAATCAAAATAATAATTGAAATAAATAAGTAATTATTGAGCGCTCAAAAATTTGTCATGAATATTTAATTAGTATGCTAAATAAAATGAAAGAAAATCATCAAGACTTTTGAAGTTTTTGTAGGAACCACAATTAAAAATATTTAGATCCTTTTAATTTTTATCAATTTTATTGTATAGAGAGCTATTTCTCGTAAAAAAAGAAAAAAAATTCAGCTAATAATAGCCAAAACTGTCTAGTTGATTTATATTTTCTAATTAAAATTTAGTCAACTGACACTCGCCACTGCAGATGGGGTTGATATTTCGAAAGACAAAGCAAAATCTTGGCTAGTTGAGGCTTATATTTTTGTTCCACTTATCAACATAATGCAATGTTTTCCCAAACAAAAATTATTTTTCAATTCCATGCAAATGTTGTATATATTTGTACAGGATAACAAAAATAAAATAATTTTTTTGACAATACATTTAAAATAATTATTCTGACCTGAATTAACATTTTTTCCATTTAATAATTTTCCTTTTTTTTTCATTTGGCTGAAACTCATTTCTAAAGTGTACTATGATTAAAAAGAGAGGTTAGCGTAAGAAGAAAATATCTGAAAACTCTGAGGAACAAAGTTTCTCCGTTATAATATTACACCGTTATTTCCTAGAGCAACAAATGCTGTTCCTCATTTG